CGGGGTGTGCTGTGTGGGGGGGGAGGCCGGCACCCAGTCCTCTCGGCCGGTTCCCGAAAACGGCCTGGGAGCTGAGAGGAAAGCGGGAGCCATGCTGTGCGCAGGGACCTGCGTTTCTTGGCTGGCGTCATCCGTGCAGGAGCCAGGGCGGGATCTGCCTTTGGTGGTGCAGTGGACCCCAGGCCCGGATCTGCTGGCACACACTGCCCACGGTGGGATGTCGGTGGAGAGGAACGACCCGGGTGTGTGTGCACGAGCGTGGTGTTGATGGACACCGTATTAGCGCTGTAAAGCTGCCGGGGTCGCTGTCTGCTCGGGTTATGCGCTGCACGTGCGCGGGGTGAACCGGCACAGCTTTGCGGGGGCGGCTCCCTGCCGAAGCTCCGTTCTGCCCCTCCGTCCTGCCCGCCGCGGGCAGCTGCCTGCCGCCTCCGCCACGCCCCACGCACCCAGGAGAGCTGCCGTTCGTTATCCCCCGCTTTGGCGCGTTGTGTTTTGCAGGACAGGAGGCATTTTGGGGACGTTTCCTGCGTTCACGGGCGGCTCCGCCTCCCCTTCCCACCGCCCACGAGAGGCAGGGAGGTACCCAAGCGGTGAACGGCAGCAGGGTGGCCAACGCGCGGGCGCTCCATCTGATACACCAAATGCCAACTGTGTCTCCCTAGAACTCACTATATTTGATGACCTTCTGCAAATCTCACTTTTAGAAATAGATATACGTCTACCCTGGCTGGTGACCTGCCACTGTGCTGATTAGATCCTGATGCCCCTCTCCTTTGGTTTCACTTACACCTTTGTCGAAATGAAATGGTTACGTCTGGTTGAAAGCACAAAATCTTGACGATGGGGTTCGGGCGAAGCGGCTGATGTTGGAGACAGGGTGAAATGTGATAACTCTGTCTTGAATTATAAATGGCCCAGGCTCAACTCCGCTCTATAAAGCTCTTACAACTGGCACGCAGTGGAAAGCATCCCTGGAAGTGCCTCTGATTTATGGTCTAGCTGCCCCCTTAGAAAGGATCTGAAGTAATCTGAAGCAGACATCGCTGGGAGATGTAAGAAGCCTCTTATCTCTCTGGGCGTGCAGACCTCGCTGGAACGGCCCCCTTTATCTGAACCTCTGGCTCAGCCTTTCCTGGCGCATGGGGGGGAACTTGACGGTGATCAGGATTAATGTTGACGGAGGAGAGTTATCGCCCAGCCGAGAGGGAGAGTCAGTCGTAGGGTGTGGATGAGGATGAATTTCACCACTTTGGTAAAACACCCCAAAAAAAGTTTTCCAGGGCCCGTTTCCCCACGCTGCGAGAGGGATACAGAGCTTGCCGGGGGTTGTGCGGTGTTGGGTGACCGTCCCCTTTCAGGGTGGCTCTCAGCCCCATCCCAGTGATGTCCCAGCCGTGGGCTGTTTCCACGGGAGGGATCCACAGACTCCTCCTTTGCGCCCAGGCAGCATCCAGGGCCGATCACCAGCAGGAGCCTGTCGAGGATGATGAAGGAATTAGTCCTCCGCCACCAAAAATCCCTTGTGAATCACTTTGGATAGAACGGCAATAATGCACTTGTAGTGTTTAATTTTCTGAGTGTTTAGAGATGCAAGGAAGTCATTGCTGAAGATATGCTTTATTTGAGGTTTAATGGGGGAAATTAGCAGGAAATAGCTGGTATTACCGAGCTACGTGACGCTGAAGGGTAAAAAAGCCTCCAAGAAAGGCGGATTTTCTTTTCCTGAGAGATTGAAGGCTAAGCAGATTGAAACCAGAGAAAAGCAATGCGCTGCCCAATTAATCACAACAGTTTCGGTGAAGCTGAGCGGGTAAAACCAGGG